GGAGCCTTTTGCTAGGAGGTGACACATGAATTCGATCTCCAAAGATGGAAAGGAATCCACCAGGCAAGTAGGGAGTGGGTGAAGGATATTCTTGGTCGAAGGGAGAGCTTCACAGAGAGAGATGGCGCAGAGGACATTTGGGACGCTGGCTGCAGCCTGCTGTCATTGCAGCATACGGCGTGTTGGGTGGGCAGGAGGAAGACCACAGTAAGCAGTGAGAGTGAAGGGGGCAGGCAGAGACCAGTGTAGTGATCTTAGACTTTGCGGTGTGATAAAAACAGTAGCTCATATTTGCAGAGCATTTCATGGTGTCCAGCACTGTTCAGGCCTTCTATGAACATCATCTCATTTAATTTTTACAAAAATCCTAGTAAGAAGGTGCTATTATTGCTGTTACTCCTCTCCACTCAATGGATGAGGAAACTGGTCCTGCAAGGACTTAGGTGAATTGAACAAGAGAGAGATGGTGCCAGGGGAGGCTGGTACTCAAATCCTGGCCTGTAGAGTCAGCCTTCTTGTGCTGTACGCCTCATGTCCACGAGTCAATTGGACTTAGCAAATGGAAATCATTGATGACCTTTGCTAGTTCAATTCTGATGGCATTTGAGGGGACAGAAACTATGTTTCAGTGGATTGAGAAGTAGGTAATTTCAAGGAAGAAGATTCTTTTTTTTTTTTTTTTTAATTTCTTTCGCCACAGGAGACATTATCCAATCAAGGAAGAAGATTAAGAAGATCAGGTCCAAGTCTTATGATCTCAATGTCTGGTTTTCTCCAACATAGATTAGGGAATGAAATGGACAAGAAGGTTGAGCCAAGGATAAGAAATTCCAAGGAAGAAGGCTCAGATTCTGGAGTGGACAGACTGTACCTCTGGGGAAGAATGTTGGCCCAACTGAAAGGAGGAAGAGAGTGCTGAATGTGGTACATATTTATCCCATCTGAAGAAACTGGGAGAGGCACACAATGCTACATTGTTCAGAGAGGGGAAATTTCTTCCAACGGGGCATATGGGGAGGCATCGTGGAAGAGGTGACATGTGAGTGGGGCACTGAAGAATGAGGCAGAAGCAAGGGTGGAGGGGAAGTGATTCTAGAACAGCCATATGTTGAGCAAAGCACAGAAGCAAGAAAATGCAACACCAGAGAAAGTGAAGCCAGATAGGTTTGCTGGGGCGCAGAGAGTGAGTGTGACATGTGCAAGACAATGCGGCTGGGACCAGGTGCAGAGGGCTGGGCTGAGGAATCCAGTCTTGGTTCCGGAAGCAGAGGAGAGCCACTGAGGGTTTCTGTGCAGAGAGCTGTGATCAAAGACCTGTCCCAGGGCAGTTCCTCCACAGGCCTCATAGATTGATAAGCGAAAAAAATCATAAACTTGAATGATCCTAATTTGTGATTAAAATACCGGAAATATATAGTTCAGAGGGCTCTGTCAAGATAGTGCAACAGGAGCCAGTGCAATCGTCCAGGCACAAGGACACAAGGCCTGAGCTGCAGAGGTGGCGGGAACACAGGAAGAAAGGAAGCACCAAGAAATACCATGAAAGGGAAATGAACAGGACTCCATGACTAATGAGAGAGAGTTGTCAATATTCGTTCAAAGGATTCGATGACTCCAAGAATGTCTGTACTAGTAACAGAAATAGCTAAGTCAAGCCAAGAACGTGGGCTTTGTTTTTCTTTTTATAGCTTTGATTATTGTATGCATAAAAAGCACTTGAAGAAAAATCTGAAAACACAGTTAAGGGATAAGGATAAAAATGTCCGTGATCTCACTGTTACCGTTCCCTTTTAATATACTCCCCAAGTTTTTTCTTTCCCTGGGCTTATGTATTTCTAGTATTTTAAATCACAAATTAGGATCATTCAAGTTTATGATTTTTTTCGCTTATCAATCTATGAGGCCTGTCCGGAAAGTATCCAGCTGTGGATACAATGGATACATGGATACGATGGCTGAATACTTTCTGGACAGCCCTCATATAACAAACGTCTTTTCACATCACAATTGCAACTCAGCATTGGCTGACTGATTATATAGAATCTATGTCTATGGATTGATCACAATTCACCCTACCTGTTCTCTGATGTTAACCATTCCACAGGTTCCAATTTTAGTTCTAATGAACATCCTTGAAGCTAAATGTCTCCGTACATCTTTAATTATTTCTTTAGAAGCAATTTTTAAACATGTAATTTGGGAGTCAAATGAAATGTGGGGGTTTTTTTTAAAGGCTTTTGCAATGTATTGTCAAATTGTCCTCCAGCAAGTCTGGTCTACTTGCACTCTTACCAGCAGCGAGGTGAAGCAAGAAGGGTTTTTACCAGAAAGGCATGTGAATAGTTTCAGATATGCAGATTATAAAGTGCCTACAGCACTCGTAATAGCAGTGACAAATAAACAGTTGGGAAAGAAGGAACTAGCTTTGAGAAGAAAAATCAGCCTCCTCTTCCTGTTCTCCACTTATTTTTCTTCAGCACCGCTCCTCTCCTTTTCCCTTCTCCTTCCTCCCTCCCCTTCCCCAGTCCCAAGCCATTGGTGCAGTTGAGCAAGGGGGTGTTCAGGGTGCAGGGGAGGAGGCACAGCCTGAGCCAGGAGGTGGGAGTCAGCACAAGAGGATGCCCTGGGCCCTCTGAGGCGTCTTGGAGCCCAAGTGCAGCAAGCAGCCTTCTGTGCAGGCATGCAGCCCCGCACGGGTGGGCAGGGCCTCAGGGAGGTGAGCATGGTCTCCACGCAGGGGCAGTGCATTGCGGCGTAGTGGCAGTGAAGAGAAATTGTTAATATATAGGAGGGTCGGTCAAACGAGAGAATGTGTTGGGAATTATAGAATCCAGGCTCTTCCCGGGTTACTGTATTTGTCTGGGTTCTCCAGAAGAGCAAGACCAATGGGATAAATAGATACATAGATAGATGATAGATGATAGATAGATAGGAATAGGATTTATTATAAGGAATTGGCTCACACAGCTATGGGGATTGAGAAGTTCGAGATCTGAGATTGGCAAGCTGGATACCTGGCAAAGCTGATGGTGTAGTTCCAGCCCGAGTCCAAGGGCAGGAGAGGATTGATGCCCTGGCTCAGAGTCAGTCAGCAGAAGGAATGAATTAGTCTCTTAGTCTTTTTGTTCTATTCAGGCCTTCAGTGGACTGGATGAGGCCCACCACATCAGGAGGAGCAATTGTCTTTACTCTGTCTACCAATTTAATGGTAATCTCATCCAGAAACACCTTCACAGACACACCTGGAACAATGTTTCCCTGCACACTTCGTGGCCCAGTCGGGTTGCCACATAAAATTAACCATCACAGTTACCAAAATGGAAAGGGAGAAAACTACGATGAATCCTTTGGATTTGAATTACAGAAATAGATGTGAACTCATGATTATCTATCTATCTATAAATGCAGATGTGAGTGTGTGTGTGTGTGTGTGTGTGTGTGTGTGTGTGTGTTCTCTAGCTCTGCCCTCCGAGAGGGGCCGGGAGCGGTAACTCCCCAATGGTAGAAAACTCATCTAGCACCCAGCTTTTGGTTTCTAAATGCCATTCTCCACAGAAAGGAACCAGGATTCCTTAGAAAAATGGCTACTTCCAGGGCTGGGTATAAGCCCAAAACAACTTTTTGTGCCAGAAAGTAAGGCAGAGTTCAGAGAATGATGGAACATGCCAAAAGAACACAAAAGCCAGCTTGAAGGAACTCTCACTGGCCAAATCCTGGCAGTTTAAGCACAAAAATAAATTATGATATTAAATAACAATATATAGCAATCTATTTCTCCCCTTGAATGTCTCCTCAGATTCAGACCGATCCTAAGCATGCCACAGCTTTACACCCTGCCCTTTACTGGGGTCCCAGCCAACTTCCTGGACAAGCCCCCCACCTTCTCCAGGCTAATGAAAGCGATGGATAGTGCCTCTGAAGTGTTATCTAATGCAGGGAATGCACAAGAGGGAGAAGAGGACAGGCGATGACAACGTCGGAGGGACCGTCAGAGCCGTGGCATGCTTTGCCAACCCAAGGAGGAGTTTAGGAGCAGGCGGTGGGTCAGCGAGGCAAACTCAGCTTGTGACGCAGGTTTCAGAGGTGGCCCATGGGAGGGGCTTGGTGCACTCCAAGAAGGCGTCTTCTGCAGAGCAGGGTGCCTGGGTGCCTGGGAGCCTGGGTGTTGGTGTTGAAGGCAGCAGGGGAGTTTTTCAGGGAAGGCAGCGGCCAGATGGCTGTTTAAGATTAAAACATCAAAGATTTGCGGGACGTGGAGGCCCTATCCCGCGTTTGGTAGGCTCGCCGATCAATGTATAGACCGAAAATACAAACATGGGAAAGGCAGATGGGAGATTTGGTCATCGGAGAGAATCCAGAGGACAGGTAAAAGATTTGCCTTCGAAAGCAGAGACCAAAAAGGGGGAACAGGTGGAGAGAATAGGTAGAGGAGTGATTTTGAGGCAGGGAAGGAGTGCGGGGGCAGAGGAGCATGAGGGTCGGGTGCTGGGGCCACCTGGCCCACGAGGGAGTCAGGGTTTCTGGTAGGTCCAGCGTGAATATCGGCTTTAGTTATTCCGCTAGACCAAGAACGGGCCAAGGAAAGGCATTCACACCACCCATGTGCACATTGTCTCTGGGGACAATGACCAGAAACAAAGTCACTGAAGAAGGCGAGAACCCCAGCAAGCAGAGGAGAACGTGGGGAAGGTGGTTAAAATGAGATGCTGTGACCCAGCCCGAGTGCCCCAGCACCCATGGCCAAGGACATTTATAGCAGCCGTACTCAGTAGCATGACGGGAAACAACCAAGCGCAGACGGGCAGAGGGACGGTGAGGAAAGGGTGACGTGAAATAGCACTGAGTGAAAATAGCACTTTCACTGAGTGAAATAGCACTCAGCGGTGAAAATGAATTAGCTAAGGCTACATTCATCGACTCAGATGGATCTGAAAAGCATAGGACACAAAAATTGCCCTGTGCAAAACTATTTATGTAAAGTTCAGACACACACAAAATTCTAAAATGTATTCATTTTACTAAACATGCTTTAAAACAATAAACATAAAATTCCCGCAGGAGGAGGAGATCACCAACGGGACAGGCATGCAAGGTGCTTCGCCCTTTTGGCAACATTCTATTTCTTCAGTCTTCAATGATCCCAGGGGTATTTATTTCATTATCTTTTATACCTTGCAGACATTATATTTTATTTTTGCATAAGTTAAATATTTTATTAAACAATAAACACTAGCGTGTACAGGGGGAATGGTCCCAAGGACTGCCCTACGAGTCTCAGAGAGCCGTGAGAGCTCTAGAGACCAGGTGACTTTCTGCCCATGCCCCTTGGCTGGCCGGGGATCTAAAAGTTCTGGTGTCCAACTTTACCAATGCTATAAGTGACTCTGCAAAATTTCAGGAAGAATGTAAAACTGTCTCTCTCTAATGGGCAGGATTTCTGTCAGAATTCAGAGTTCTCTTTGCAGCAAACAGAAAGACAAACAAAAAGTGAATGCTGTCAACTTTAAAAGAAAATACTCTCTGGAGGAAAGAATCGGCACTTTGATGGGTAATGTCCAAGTGACTCAGGAAAGTGGAGGGAGGGTGGTGCCGCCACTCTGTGCCACTCTGTGCCACTCTGTGCCTGAGCTTGGGAGAGGCTGCACCGGAAGCCCCTCAGAGGGGCTTATCCAGGTGTTCGTTGAGGTGAGAAAGGAGAAAGGGCTCCTGGACATGTCTGAAAACACAGACTTGGTCACTCCCTCTAGAATCAGGAGCGTTTAAGCTTGAAGGGATGGGTTTTGTGAAGACCTGAAACCATTCCAGGGGCAATACAGGCATTTGCTCAAAACCTGTGTGCTTATTTTTCCAAATGAATTGATTCTGGACCAAAACTCCTCCTCTACTCACCCATCACTATCATCTCCAAGGCTGAATTCAAGCATTGGCCATCGACAGGTGAGACATCCAGGCACAAAGGAAGCAGGCTGGGGCTCTAGAGATTGTGGAGAAACTGCCCACTGGGAGCCAGAATCCACTCGAGGCAGGGGGCAGAGGCGTGGTCCACACAGCTGGTCACCAAGGAATCATCCCGAGGCTGCCAGAGGCTTCCAGGCCCCATGCTTCACCTTTGCCCCCAACCTCTTCCTTTCATTGCCAAGAACATCCACTCCAGCAGTGAGGGGCGATCTAATAGCATCACACAACTGGAGGCCCCAGGCTGTCTTCGCTGAAGACACGAGACTATAAATAAATGATAAAACATGAGAGAAAGGTCAGGCTCCAGGAAAACGCTCCTCATAAATCCTCCGGGTCCTGACTGCTCCATCTAGAAGCAGATTAAGTTTAAAATACTGGTCTTGAATGGGGTCCAGCCAAAATTTATACAGCTTGAGGGCTTTCTGGAAGAGCTGTTTTCTTTCAAAGGAAGCGAGTTAGGAAATACGGTGCTGGTGGATGGTCCTGGAAGGAGGGGAGATGGGCCAGTTTCGTCAGCCAAGTGGGGTCTTCCAGGTCTACCGTAAAAGGATCCCACCTGTCACAGAGCAGGTGCTGCTCCTCATGCTGCAGTGGCGTTGTCACAGGAGGATGCTGCAGGCTATTGTGACATCAGAGGTCTGCTGTGATGTGTGGAGTTTTTTCTAAGACCGTGTATTTTGTAAAGTGGGAGGGAGAAAAATTTCAGGTTGCAAAGTTCAAAGTAGTTTAAAGTTTTGGAAGCAGAAAGAACTACTGCAGGATTTTGGCCATTGCCCTAAACCACTCGGTCTGTTTCACTCATCTGAGAAATGGGGATGATGACAGGATCTGTGTTCGAGGATGTGGTGAGAATTAAATGAGATGGTGCTTGGAAAGTTCTTAGCGTGATGCCCAGAATATATTAACGGCCCCGTAAATGTGCGTTACTCATCACCACCACAATCATTATCACCATCATTACTCGCCCAAGAGAACAATAGTCTGTAGTGTCCCAAAGGGAGTTTAAAGAAAGTAAGCCAGGCTACAAAAGGCCTAGCTCATTGGATGGCACTTATAAGTTAATGGAGAGATAACAGAGTCACCCAGAAGCTAAAGTTAAGAACCAAGACTCTGGGGTCTGAAAAATGAGTTACGGATGAAAGTTGACATCTGTGCTTGACCAGCAGGACAAGATGGACTGGCAGAACAGCCCATGGGTGCTGGGAAGCATGCAGGTCACTGAGAGATAAGTCCTTCATTCATTTATTCAACAAGTATTTATGAGCATCTACTGTATGCCAAGCTCTGTTCTTGCAACTGGGGTACAGAGCTGAACAAAGCAAGCAAAGCCCTTGCTCCCATGAACTCTCTGAGAACAAGGCCAGAGCCAAAAGGCAGGCAAAAGGCCTAAAAATATTCTTGCAGAGAAGGGCTAGAGCATGGTTGTCGTGGAGCCTGCGGGCATCCGTTAAAGCTCTCTGCTGTTTCTATGATCCGAACGTCCTGCAGATGTGAAATCTAGGAGCAGGAGGGAGGAAACAGTAAATGAAGTCTTTGGAGCCAGTCAGACCTGGGTTTGAGTCTTGGTTTGGCCTTGCTGTGTGCCTAAGACCTCTGCACAGCAGTTTCTTTGATTATAAAAAAGCACAGTGGGAATCTCCTTTCGGAATGTTGCAAGGATTAAAAATGGCATACGTCTAACACTGAGTTTCATGACAAGTGTCAATACATGGTGTGTGTTCAATGAAGGAGAGCTGCTTTCGGCTTATGCAATTTGTACTTTTGGTCACGATTTCCTCATCTATTCCTGTTAGTTTTTGGTAAAGTTCCTTTGAAAATATCATACTGTCTTAACTGATGAGAAGGAGGGTGCCAGATGTGAGCCCCCAGCCTTGAGGGTGCAGGGCACCGTGGGTGCTGGCAGCTGGGGTCCTGGGGTCCTGGGTGGGACACTTGGAGGAAAGGTGGAGGGGCGCGTTCTGGCGAGGAAAGGCACGCCGTAGGTCCTAGGGATGATGCTGGCAGGAAGCGCGGTCAGAGGCCTGGGCGGAGCCCTAGTGATTACAGTGTACGCCGGGGACCTTCACAGGGGTCACGCACCACACACACTGACCCCACGCCGGCCCTGGTCCTCCACCTCCCCAGGACAGGGGGCTGTTTTACTCCCCAGTACGCTGCTTGCACTTAAGAGCTGGGGGCAAATTATTGCCACTTTTGTCATTGCAGTTGTTTTATTTAGTACTTTGCCATCCTTGTTGGCAGCTGTGGTTTTGTTTTGTTTTTTTCCTAGTTGTGATAAAATACGGACTATGAGATTTACCATTTTAACCATTTTTAAGTATAGAGTTCAGTGACATTAAGTACATTCCCACTGTTGTGCGGTTATTGCCTCTTTTGAGCCTCAAAGTCACAGGACTGGTCGATGGTTGGGGGAGGGGGGCTTAGCCCCTCCCCCAGCCCTGTCCCCAGCCCCAACAGCTCTGAGTTCTGTTCTAGAACTATTCGGTGCTCTGCTTTCCACATAATAGACAGAAGTTTGGGCACAACAGTAAAGCTCGGGGCTGCTGTGCTGCTCCTGGGCCGTAGTTTGTGTGGAATTTGACATCGTTCACTGCTTCTGACACACATCGGCCGGGATATGTCTGCGGTGGAGCCGGGTGTGGCTGGCACCGCCTTTCTCATCCCGCCTGACTCTGCAGGGAAGCTGCGATCTGGCAGAGGGAGCACCGTCACCGTCACCGTCACTGTCGGTGGCTGTTCCTGGCGGAGGAAAGCAGGGTTTGCTGTCGAACATAGCAAGGGACAGGCAGGTCCCTAGTGCTTTTCCCAGGGCCTTTGCTGACACTCTAGGGGGGTTCAGGAAGCCGTTTGGTGCTTAGCTATCTGCCAGGAGCAAGAACAGCAAAATCAGTTTCCACATAGCTCCTCCCTGGTGATTCACGCAACCCCACATCCTTCCAGGTCTTTCAGATGCAGCGTGTTTGAGAATGGCCAATCCTATCTGAGGAAATGGATCTGGCTTTTAGTTGTGATAATAGCTCATACTGATTTAGTGCCTAGTAGGTGCCAGCCACTGTGCTGGGAACACAGGTCCCTAGGTGACCTGAAAGAAGGTTCCAGAGCCAGACTTTACCAGTAAAGATGAGAGATGGTGAGATCTCTGAGACCCTGGCCAGGGACCATCCCTGCTAAGTTTCTAAATGACCAAAGCAGGGATGTTCTCAGGACAAAGATGTTCCTAAGACTCCACCCTAGTGAGCTGGGCCACCAGCCCTCAGGCCCAGTTTAGGAAGCCCTGTCCAGACTCTGAAGGCTGACATCTAGGGAAACTCCAGGGCCACCTCTTCCCAGCCCTCTTCCCCAGTGACATCAAACCCTGGTGTGGGACTCCCAGCTCGTCCACTCCAACAGCAGGACGAGGCAACCGGGAGACCAGAAAGAGGCAAGTGGAGGAGAGAGAGCCGCTGAGAAGAAAAGACATTGCCCTTTTCCCTCTCTCGCCAGTGCTTTTCCCACTTCGGCTGACCCGAGCAGACTGCAGCCTCCACTGCACCCCCACTAGCATCAGAGCACCTCCTGTCCCGAGGTGGTGCCCTTCCTGGTTTGAGCTTTGACTAACAACGCCCCTAAATCTCTGGTCACGGGCATGCCCATAGGATCCTAGGAAGTAAGCAGGGTCTCCCCAACTTGGAGGAAACTTCAAGAAGCAATCTCCAGGAATACAGCCGTACCTTTCTTCCCCCTGTAGTTTCTCAGCAGTGTGCTATAATATCAGCCGAGAAGACTCGAGACATTTCTTCTGATGCAACACAAATGTCTTCAGTTCGGGGATGAAATGTATCCGGGTCTGTCAATTGTACATTAAATGCTCACAGGTTAGACAACACAAGCTCAGAGAGGAGACACTATGTTTAACTTTCTTTCCCTCCTATCAACAAATGAAAATACAGCCACTGAATTCCACTCATTCCTAACTGCGGATATTCTTTCTCTGGCTTCTCTGACAAGTTCCACCCTGATTTTTACCCTCAGTTCAAGTAACTGGGTCTCATCCTGCTAAATATCTGATGAAGCAGCAGCCTGTTTTCTGTCACCTGATCCCTCGACCTCGGCCAAGGGTCCACTCGGGCTCCTTCGCCAAGTAGTTCAGTCAACCACACGGCAGCACATGGCTCGAAGCCCTCACACGCCTGGCCGGTCATTACACAGCACAGGTCGCCATGGCTCAGGCAGAGAATGCC